GGGGGAGGGAGGCCATTTGTTCTCCGCCCAGGTGCCTGGCTCCAGGTTTCTCTGTAAAAAATGCAGCCAGACCACATAGTTGTCAGGCGGGCGGGTAGAGCCTGGGCTGGGGGTGGGGTGGGGATGGGCAGGGGTGTGTGGGGGAGAGCCGAGGACTGAGAGAGGGGTGGGGGTCCTCATGACCCCTCCATAGCACCCCCTCCTGGGGCCTGGGCTGTGCCAGAGGGAGGGGAAGGGGAGGGGGAGGGGGAGAGCAGAGGGGAAGGGGGCAGGGCAGGGGGAGGGACAGGGGGGAGGGGGAGAACTCCTGCAGTCCTCCTGTCATCATGGTTTTTAATGGAAAAAAAAAATCTCAACTCTGTTCTGTTTGTAGAGATCCGGTCTGGTTCTCAGGGTCTTGGGCAGGCTGGGTCTTTTCACTCGTGTGTGTGTGTGTGTGTGTGTGTGTGTGTGCGCACCTGCGTGACGGTGTGATGTATGTTTGTCCTGTCACCCAGTTGAGAAAACATTCTCAGCCAGGCGCCGGTGGCTCCCGCCTGCCATCCCAGCAACTCAGGAGGCTGAGATCTGAGGATCGCAGCTCAAGGCCAGCCTGGGCAGGAGAGTCCCTGAGACTCTGATCTTCCATGAACCACCAGAAAACCAGAAGTAACGCCAGTAGAGCGCCAGTCTTGAGCTGAAGAGCTGAGGGACAGCGCCCAGGCCCTGAGTTCCAGGCCTAGGACAGCGTGCGCGCGCGTACACACACACACACACCCACACACACACACACGGTGGCCATCCTGGAGGGAGGCCCGGGCTGCCGGCCCTGCAGGATCTGGGGAACGCGGGTGTACAGCAGAGGGACGTGGCTCCAGCAGGCCGGCCCTGCCCTCAGGTGTGAGCAAAGTCCAGGCAGATGATCACGAGATCAGATGGCAAAGTTCTCGGCCAGCCAGGGACTTCAGGGCACTTCCTAGGGCCCTGGGCAGGCGGGGCAGGCGGGGCTGGACCTCTGGGTCCGTGTGAGAATAGAGAGTGAGTGGCCAGATGGTCCAGAAAGGGGGAGAGCAGGGAGGGAGGGCGGGAGGGGTGAGTGGATCATCGGACACATCAGAACAGACCCTCCCTTGCAGCTGATTGAAACTAATAACAAGACATAGGAGGAAATTTTAAAAAAAGGCTCCCACCTGTGACCTCTCAGCTGATATCTTAGCCGTGAGGATGGCCGGTCCAGCTCAGCCCGGGAGACACATTCCTGAAACCACCCAAAAGCAGGAAGTGGAACTGTGACTCAAGGGGTTGAGCACCAGCCTCGAGTTCAACCCCCAGTACTGACACACACAATAATAATATTAATATGAATACGATAATAAATCCGGTAATCTGCAACCCCCAGTACTGACACACACACAATAATAATAATAATATGAATATGAATACGATAATAAATCCAGTAACCTGCAGCATGGAAGGAGAATCATCTGATTAGCTGATTAACTAGGTTTTTTGTTTGGTTTTTGTCAGTCCTGGGGCTTGAACTCGGGGCCTGGGCGCCATCCCTGAGCTCTTTCACTCAAGGCTGGCGCTCTACCACTTGAGCCACAGCTCCACTCCCGGTTTTCTGGTGGTTTCTTGGAGCTCAGAGTCTCAAGGCCTTTCCTGCCTGGGCTGGCCTTGACCAGCGATCCTCAGCTCTCAGCCTCCCTGAGTCTCTGGGGTGATGGGCGTGAGCCAACCCCATGTCACCAGGGTTTGAATGAATGGGATACAGGGGGGGCTCTCCTGCTCCCTCTAGGGACGGGAACCTGACCCGAGGCTGCTGCCTGCAGTCACGGCTACGGGGGACTTGGGTAAACATCTATTTTGGTGTCTCCTGTTACTCAGGGTGTCACGCCCTTTTCCACTGCGGTCTGTGGGTGTGAGTCACAGGCTGGGGCGGGGAGGGGGTAGTGCACGCTCACCCCGCCGCCGTGCACGGCCGGCCGCCAGCTCCACAGGGCGTAGCTCACCAACAAATCTTGCTCTTTTTTTTTTTTTTCAAGCCAGCCTGATTCACAGAAGCTCCTTTAAAACCCGGGGAGAAAGGGCCGGCCCCGCACACACCCAGCCAGCAGCTCTGCCTGGGGAGCCCTTCCCGTCCGCCGCCACCCTACAACCCAGAGCTGCAGCCTCCGGCCCTCCCTGAGTTCCCTGGGCCTCCAGACTGCAGCCTCCGCGCCTCCGGCCTCCGCAGCCTCAGGTAGGAGAGCGATCGCTCCTTCGGGGGGAGAGCACTTGGGTCTGAGGACTTCAAAACAACGCCTTCCCCTCCCTTCTTTCTTTTCTTCTTTCTCTCCTTGGCTTTGATTTATTTTTCTTCCCTACCTGTGACTCAAAAGAATTAAGTCCTTGAAACTTGTAGCTGGAAAGGCAGCTGAGAGGTGATCTGTCCTGAGCAGGGTTGGGTTGGGGGGGTGGGGACGGATGGAGGGACAGGGGGCCCCCAGGGCTGGCATCTGGTCTCGGGGCTGTGGCTCCCAGTGGCTGGGTGGTGGCGGAGGGGACTTTGGAGCGGACTTGGACAGCGAGTGTTTTTATGCAGGGAACGGCCTCCCCGGGCCCAGGGTGGGTACCGTCCCCTGCAAACCATGCCAATCCCGCCTTTTGCCTGAGGGTGGGTGGGTGGCAGAGTTTTGGGGGGGCTTGGGGGGCATGGGGGAGCGGAGGAAATGCTAGTGGAGAAACATCTGGCTTTCCCTCCCTTCCCATTCACTCCTGCAGAAGAGATGTGGCTCGTTTCTCGTGGAGGGAGGCAGGGAAGAGATTGGCTGGTTTAAAGAAAACCGTTAGGGGAAACCGGGAAAGAGTTGGGGGGGGGAGAGGGAGGGAGGGAGGGCGGGAAGGGGGGGAGCAGCTGGGGCTTGGAATAAAACGTGGGAGGGCTGGACCAGGAGGATGTGGACGCCGTGTGGATTCCGGGCTCCGGTTCTTGGCCAGATGTGGCGTCCAGGAGGGGAGGGCGGGGCTCATGGATTCCAGAACCCTGGAGAAGCTCTGAGCCCTCCCTTTAGCCCACCCACTGCCAAGAACCCCCCCTCCTCCCCCCAAGGGCTGAAAGGAACTCCCGGAGCTGGGAATCCTTGACTCGGTTGACCGCTTGTGTCCTAATTTCCCACAGGAGGTCAGGAGGAGACCAGGGTGGGGGTGGGGGAGGGAGGGTGGTGTGGTCTTCATACCCCCCCCCATCTGCCTCCTGCTGGACCCCACCTCTGGCCCTCCTGTGGGTCACCCCGAGACGCAGCCCCTCCCAGCTCAGGTGGAGTGGGCCTGAGCTCCCTGGCGGCCCTGGGGAGAAGTTCAAGCGGCTTCCTCCTCCCCCCCATCCCCACCCCACAGACCCACCGGGGGCCACAGAACAAACCCGTCCATCCTGTCCTCCGTCCCTTCCACAGGGAGGATGAATGAGTATGTTCCTTCCCTTCCTACCGGCAGGATTGGGATCTGTACCCCAGCCTGGGCACCTGGCAAGCTCTTAACAAACCCCAGGCCAGGGGAGTCAGGGCCTGGGGTGGGGGCCAGGCGTCCATGCCCGCCCCTCCGCTGGACAGCACTAGCCTTCTGTGTCCCCCATGCTGAGCAGAACTGGTGGACGCCCCTGTACCCCCCCAGGACTGTGGCGGCCTGGGCATTGAATCTGTCCTGGTGGTCATTGCGTCCTCGGCAAACCCTGACGCCTAGCCCAGGCTAGCCCCAAAGCCACAGGCCTCCTCCGTCAGCCTCCGGAGGGCCGGGATTGCAGGCATGTGCCACAAGGCCAGCTCCTGGCTTCATGTTTAATTAGCACAGATGAGTAGAGCTGGAGAAGCAGCGCTTTATCCCTCCCCCCGCCCCCCCGCCCCTCGTCTCTGAAATAGTACTTGGGGGTCTTTGAAGCCACGTAGGTCGCTGGCTACATCCTGAAGTGTTTCACTTTGCTTCCTGGGACTTGAACTAGGGGCCTGGGCACTGTCCCTGAGCTGCTTTTACACGAGGCTGGCTCTCTACCACTTGAGCCACAGTGCCATGTCTGTTTTTTTTCTGTGTGGTCCTGAGGACTCGAACCCAGGACTTTGGGTGTGCTAGGCAAATGTTCTCCCCCTGAGCCGCGTGCCCAGCCGGGCTTCATCTTCCAGATGCATCCGCAAGTTCTTTGTGAGTGTGGTTCACACGAGTGTGCGCTCACACTGCTCCAGAGAGCACAAGGGAGACTCTCAGCTGGGCAGACAGCCACACCAGAAACACGGGCTTCTAACCAGCCCTTTTGGGGTGTGGCCCGTCCCTGGGGCCCACGCCCGTCCTCTGAAGCCATCCGAGAGAGGGAGGAGGGAGAGGAGGGCGAGGAGGGAGAGGAGGAGGGAGGCCCGCTGCCTGGCGGAGGCGGCTTAGCCCGGCAACTGGATGTAAGGCCCAGCCATGGCCTTCACCAGTTTTGAACTGCAGCCTTAGACCACGAGCCTCCCTCCTCCCTTCCTCCCCTCCTCTTTTCCCTTCTGCCCCGGAGGCTGGGGTTTCTAGATTGTTCTTGCCATCTGGGCATCCCGGAGGCCAACACACAGGTAGATCCAGTGAGGAGTTAACTTGAGTTTTCTTTTTGGGAGCGAGCATCAGTCCTGGGGCTCAAACTCCGGGCCTGGGCGCAGTCCCTGAGCCAGAAAACCAGTTCAAGGCTGGCGCTTCCGTTTTCTGGCTTTGAACCGTGATCCTCGACGCTCAGCCTCCAGCCGGGCGGCGTCTGGGAAGATGGGCCGGCGACTCAGCTCTGGGGGCGTTGAGCATGTGAGGTCTGCAGGATCGCAGTCCGGGGTCAGCCCTGGGTGGAACGCGCCAGCCGGAGGTGGCGGCCCCGAGGGGGCGGGTGCCACCCAGACTCGGAGTCCTGAGCGGGAAAAGATCCACCGCTGGGGCCGGACGCGCGGTTCCAGCGGTGAAACGCCTTGTCTTGCAAGAATGAGGTTCTGAGTTTAAATTCTGGTACAATAGAGAGAGAGAGAGAGACAGACAGACAGACAGACAGACAGAAAGAGAGCACAAGGGAGGGAGGGAGGGAGGGACAGAAGAAGGGAGGAAGGAAAGAAGAAAAAATAAGGAAAGAAGAAAGGAAGGAGGAAGGAAAGAGGGGAGGAAGGAAGGAAAGGAGGAAGGAAGGGAGGAAGGAAAGAGGAGTGGAGGAAGGAAGGAAGGAGGAAGGAGGAAGGAAGGAAGGGAGGAAAGAGGAAAGAAAGGAAGGAAGAAAGGAAGGAAGGAAAGAAGGGAGGAAAGGAGGAAGGAAGGAAGGAAGGGAAGAAGGAGGGAAGGGAGGAAAGGAGGAAGGAAGGAAGGAAGGAAGGGAAAAAGGAAGGAAGGAAGGAAGGAAGGGAGGAGGAAGGAAGGAAAGAAGGGAGAAAAGGAGGAAGGAAGGAAGGAAAGGAGGAAGAAAGGAAGGAAGGGAGGAAGAAAGGAAGGAAGGAAGAAGGAGGAAAGAGGAAAGAGGAGGAAGAAGGGAGGGAGGGAGGAAGGGGGAAGGAGGAGGAAGATGGCCTGAGCTCTCTCTGGGGGGGAGTTGGGGGCTTCACCCTGGCCGGGGCTCAGGGTCTGGAGCCCCTAGGAGCCCATGGAGAGAGCAAGCAGAGCTGCAGCCCCCCCCTAATTTACCTGGGGCGCCCAGTGCGGCAGGCCGGCCCACGCCTCCATTTTCTCCCTGCACTTAGTCATTATCTCCAGGATCTCTGGCCCTGGCTCCTCTTCCGAGCTGACGTCAGAGGGAACCCCGGCTGGAACCCCAGCTCCCTCTTTGCGGGGGGGGGGGACGCCTGGCCTCAGCCTCCTTCCGAGGGGGAGGTTGGGGTGCAGGAGAGCGTTCAGAGCTCATGAGAGCCGAGGGCGGTGCTGAGGCAGGTCTGGGCCAGCCCTGCTAATGCCCAGGGGTAAATAAACACCACCCAGACCAAGAAAGAGCAGGCCAAAGCAGCTGGTGTGGGATTTGAACCCAGAACCTGTGCTAGAGACTGTTAGCAGCCAGTACCGCCTCTCTGGGGCCCCAAGGCCGACTATGGAAGTCTGGATCTGTACTAGTTATTGGTCCCCTCCCTCCCTCCCCCCTCCCTCCTCCCTTCCTCCTCCCCCCTCCCGTTCCCAACCTCACCTGGCCAAGTCTGCACAAGTCTCTGCGCAAGTCCACACCAGCACCAGATAAGCAATGCTTTTCCATCCTCACCCCCCCTCCCGCCATTTTTGGGGTGTGGGGTGTGTCTGCCTGGCCCAGGGCGAGGGAAGCCAGTGGCTCTTTTTGCATCCGCTGCTCCTCTGGGCGGGAGCCCTGGCATGGCCATGGTCTGACCAGCATGCGCCCCCCTTTAATCCCGGCCTCACCCTCCCGCCCGGGCTGCTGGTGGTGCTGGTGACTTGCCTTTCTGCTCCCGTCCACCACCTTGTCCACCAACACACAGGGGGCCCTGTGCCGTGCGAGCCCTTGGAGAAATGAAGCGGCAGCAGCAAACCGATCTTGAGGTTGGGAGGCGTGGGGCAAGCCTGGGGTGCCGGCTGGGAGGTGGGCCCAGGGACCCCCGAAAGGAGCAGACCTCAGTGCCACTGGGCCCAGAGAGTGTTTTTAGTAAGTCCTCCTTCTGTCCCCAGATTCTGTAATTACGTCCGTGCATTCATTCATTCATTCATTCATTCTCAAACAGAGATCAGTCCAGGAGCTCAGGCCTCTGGGGGGGGGGAGGGAGAGGGCCTCTCATCCACATGTAACCGTCCAGCCACCGTCCACTAGCAGCCCACGTCGGGCCTGTGGGCTGGGAAGGGGGGACATGACCTCTGGTAGGAGTCCGGGAGGGCTTCCTGGAGGAGGAGGCCAGGCACCCGATTGAAAACACACTCAGTAGGCAGGGACTGGAGGAGGGACGCGTGTGTGCGGAGCTTTTATGCTTAGCGGTCACGTTCCTAGAGTCCGAGGTGCACAGTGGACAGTTGGGACCTGGCTCCGGGTCATCGGTGTTGGTGTGCACGCCCACGTGCATGTGTGCGCATGCGTGTGGTAGAGATGATGTGTGCACACACAACCTGATGGCTGGACAGCGGAGGGAGAGGAGGGGGTGGCAGAGAGGATCATGGGAAGAGATGATGTCTGGACAGAAGGGAGGGTGGTTTTCCTGGCGGGCCTGCACATAACCCCTCGCCCTGCTGTGTGGCGGGGTCTCCACCGCAGAGACGCTAAACGGGGCTGGACATGGAGAAGGAGCTGAGCATCTGCCATCCAGCGCGTGGGATTGGAAGATAGCCCGACAGACTCGGGGTGGGGAAAAGCCAGAGCCGGGTGCACGGCGCAGCCTCTGTTTCTGGCCTATGGGAGCTGGGGGGGGCTGGGCCCCCCTTGTAGTAGGGACCAGGACACCGGCCGATTGGAGACTCGCCTCCAATGAACCACCCCAAAGCCCGCAGTGGAGCTGTGGCTCAAGTGCTCGAGCGCCAGCCTTGAGCACCAGAGCTCCGCAGGCCCAGGGCCCAGGCTCCCCCAACTCCCGAGTTCAAATCCCAGTAACTAGTGCAAAACCAAAATAACCAAAACACCAAACACCCAGGCATGAAACGCAGACCACTGTGGACGTAACACAGGAACCTGCAGTCTATCTAGCGCAGTTAGATGGTGCTAGAATTTGCATGTCTAGCAGGAAGTGCATTTTTGTTGTCCCTCCCTCCCTCCTTTCCTTCATTCCTTCTTCTTTCCTTTCTTTCTTGTCCTGGAGCTCGAACCCAGGACACTGCACTCATTCGGCAAGCATTTTGTCACTGAGCTACATCCCAGCCCCCTGATGGCTGCTGAACACCAAGGGTTATGAATAATCTCTCTCCCCTGAGATCTGCTGCCCAACTGCTGAATAGCAGGTTTTTGTTGTTGTTGGTTGTGGGGCTTAAACTCAGGGCCTGGGCGCTGTCCCTCAGCTCTTCAGCTCAAGGCTGTCACTCTACCACTTGAGCCACAGCTCTACTGGTTTTCTGGTGGCTTACTGGAGATGGGAGTCTCATGGACTTTCCTGCCCAGGCTGGCTTTGAACTGCGATCCTCAGATGTCAGCCTCCTGGTGGCTGGGATGACAGGTGTGAGCCACTGGCGCGTGGATAGAACTTGATTTGTGTTTTGGATGGCGTACGCGTGTCACAATGGATATGAAATCAGACACTTTCCTAACCAACTCTGGGCTTGCACACCTTGATTATGAAACTAGCAGTGTCGGACGCCCAGTTTAGCCACTTTTTTTGGGGGGGGCGGGAAAAATGTCCTCTTTTTAAAAATCTTTTCCTGCTGGGGGGAGATGGGTTACATTAGAGGAGCGAGTATATAAATCTTGGTTCTGAAAGGGAGGGAATTGCATTTGATCAAGATGGACGGGCACAGAGGCACACAGAGGTCTCCAGAATTTTCTGATGGAGGTGGAACTTTGTTGTCTTTTTTTTTTTTTTAATTGCAACTTCTCATTTCGGCTGAGACCTCAGAGGTGGGGAAGCGGAGCCGTCCCACTAAATCTGATGTTAACCTTTTCTTCTCCTCTCCTCCTCCGTTCTTTCCAGAAACTTCTCTTGGCTCACTTGTCCACAGGAAGGCCAAGATGTTGGTGCTCCTGGCCAGTATCTTCGTGGTGCACAATGCCTGCCTCATCATGCTGTTTGTCTCCACCATCGCCAACGTGAGTCCGGGCCTCCAGTGTGGAGCCCTGGTGTGGATGCTGAGGTGGAGGTGGGGGAGGAGGGTGGGTTGACTTCAGTGCCCGCAGGGTGGTCGAGGGACTGGGAGGAATGGACAGCGGGAACCGGGCCGGGCTGAGCCCTCCTGGATCTCAGTGACAGGGGAGGTAGAGGGGGCTGGATGGATCTTCTGGTGGTCAGGCCCCCCAGATTCAAGCGTGGAGCCCTGAATATGGTGGGGACAGGGCCAGAGGTGTGCAGCCAGATGGCAACCGGGCTCTGCTGTCCCCGGGCCCCGGCGCCACTTCCTCCGGTGGTCGTTTGTTGTTGTTTGTTAGTGGAAGCGTCCAGTTTGCTCCGATCGTGCTCAGGAAGGTCAGGCTGGCTGCTCCACGCCGGGCCCTGCTGACCCCTTTGGTCCACCCTAACTTGGTGGAGTTGTTTCCTTCACCTGGGAGTCGGTGGTGGGTCTTGAACTCGGGGCCCCGGCGCTGTCCTGGGCGGGCGCTCTACTGCTTGAGCCGCAGCGCCCCTTCCGGCTTTGGGGTTCACTGGGGATCAGGGTCTCCCACAGCCTTGGCTGCCCCGGTGGGCTTCGACCTGCGGTCCTCAGTGAGGATCACCTCCCTCGAGGTGACCTCCGCCATCCGCCCTCTGCCCTCCGCCAGGTCTGGGTGGTGTCTGACCACGTGAACGCCTCCGTGGGCCTCTGGCGGAACTGCACCGGTGGGGACTGCAGCAGCGGGCTGACCTACGGCGACCAAGGTGCGTGCGGGGCGTGGCCAGCCCTGCCCCAATAGAGACCAATCCCCGTCCTCAGGGGGCGTGGCCAGCCCTGCCCCAATAGAGACTAATCACTGTCCTCAGGGGGCGTGGCCAGTCCTGCCCCAATAGAGACCAATCCCTGTCCTCAGGGGGCGTGGCCCTGGCCCTGCCCCAATAGAGACCAATCACTGTCCTCAGGGGGCGTGGCCAGCCCTGCCCCAATAGAGACCAATCCCCGTCCTCAGGGGGCGTGGCCCTGGCCCTGCCCCAATAATGACCAATCCCTGTCCTCAGGGGGCGTGGCCCTGGACCTCCAGTAGAGGCCAATCCCTGTCCTCAGGGGGCGTGGCCCTGGACCTGCCCCACTAGAGGCCAATCCCTGTTCTCAGGGGCGTGGCCCTGTCCCTGCCCTCAATAGAGACCAATCCCTGTTCTCAGTGGGGCGTGGCTCTGGACCAGCCCCCAATAGAGACCAATCCCAGTCTTCAGAGGGCGTGGCCAGTCCCCAATAGACATTAATCCTTGTCCATAGTGGGTGTGGCCCCGGGCCAGCCCCAGAAGAGGCCAGTCCCCGCCCACAGAGGCATGGCCCCAGATCAATCCCAATAGAGACCAATCCTTGCCCATGGTGGGCGTGGCCATGAGAAATAGCAGGGATAGAGTCAGTCCCCGCCCACAGGGGGCAGAGCCACGGAGCAGCCCCAATGGGGATGGAGCCCCGCCCGCCGTGGGCGTGGCCACACCCATGGGCGTGGTCTGACGCGGCTCTTCCCGTGTCCGCAGACGCCCTCAAGGCTGTGCAGGCCTTCATGATCCTGTCCATCATCTTCTCCGTCATCTCCCTGGTGGTCTTCGTGTTCCAGCTCTTCACTATGGAGAAGGGGAACCGCTTCTTCCTCTCCGGGGCCACCATGCTGGTGTGCTGTGAGTATCCCCGCCCGGGGCCGCCCGCAGCTGGTGGGCCGACATCGGGGGCATGGCTCTGGGGGGCTGTCAGCCGGCATCCCGGGCCTGGGGCTGGGGTGTTGAGCGCGCCTGACCCCACGCGCCCCGTCCCGCAGGGCTGTGCATCCTGGTCGGCGTGTCCATCTACACCCACCACTACGCCAACAGCAACGTGCACTTCGACACGTCCACACACCACGGCTACTGCTTCATCCTCACCTGGATCTGCTTCTGCTTCAGCCTGGTCATCGGCATCCTCTACCTGGTCCTGAGGAAGAAGTGAGGCCGACCCCGTGCGCACGCGCGTGTGCGTGGGCCGGGGAGGGGGTGGGGAGGCCCGAGCCTTGGATGCGGGAGGAGGGACGCGAGCCGCAGGGCGGGAAGACGGACACACACATGCACACATGCACACACATAAACACACGCACACGTGCAACACATGCACATGCATGCACACACAAACACATGTGCACACGCAACACACATACACACATGCACACACGCACATGCACACATGTAAACACACGCACACACGAGGAAACAGGCCGAGGGGGGTCCCGTCAGCCGCTTGCTCTCAGGAGGATGGCACTGCCAGGGCCAGGTGTGGGCCAGACGGGCCTGCCCTTGGCCATGAGGCGTGCGTGGCCTCGGTGACACCACCCGGGCGAGCCCTGGATGCCACACCGGGTCCCCCACCCACCTCCAGGCAGGGGGATCAATCCAGCCGAGAGCAGCCCCGCCCTGCATCCCACCCTGTGTGGCCTGGAAGTCCCCTGCCCCCCACGGGGGGCTCACGGTGGGGGGAGCTGGCCTGGTGAGTTACTGCCCGGACATGGACAGATATCCGGGCCCACATAGCCCCACGGTGGAGGGACAAAGCGGAGGAAGGGCGTCCTGGAAGGCCCTGGAGAGGGGTGGAGCCCAGGTTAGACCCTCCACCCCTTCAGCTGACCCTCATGGGGTTTTCCTGCTGCCCACTTGGTCTGGTGGTGACCAAAGGGCAAGGTAGCCCTTTGGGCACCTGTGAGATGTCCCGACCATCCTGCCTTCCAGATGAGGCCTGATTCACAAACACACACACACACACACACACACATACACACACCCCAAAACACAAGCTCTGGGCTGGGGCGGGGTGGCGGCGTATTAAGCACACTAATGGTAGCCAATGGTGGGGACCGGGCACCCCGCTCTCCAGGAAGGGAAGGGAGACTCTTGCGGTGAATAGAATCGCAGGTGACGGGCAGATGTTTTCTTGTTCTGAAATAAAGCGAACACACTTGGCGCCCCCAGACAGAACACCCGTTGGGGTGTCTGTGGCCGCCTGAGATTTTCCACGGAGGATTTAGAAATAGGAGGCGCTGGATTCCAGGCTCTCTGGCCGGGGCTCTGCCCCCCCCCCCACCAGCCCGTCTCAGACTCTTTCAGCCATGTCTGCAGATCGACCCTGGGGAGAAGTCCAAACTGGTTCTGGCGTACTTTCTTCTGCTCCTCTATGTACATTTGCGCGTGGGCCTTTCTCTTGGGGGGGGGGTGGGATTACTATGCTATCATTGCTGGTATTTATGTAAAGGGTCTGTTCCTCTGTGTTCACTGTGGCTAAGGGAGAGTTGCAGGCCAGGCCGGCCGAGGGACCCCCAAGACGCCTTTAAGGTGCTGTCCAGGCCGAGGTGACAATCACAGCGACTTCCCTTGCTTTCTAACCCCCCCCCCCCCATGACATTTACGTCTCATGTAATCTGCATGGCTCTTGCAGGGTTTTCTTCTTTGTGCTGTGCGCACCGGCTTGTTCCCAGCAGCCATCATTGTAAATATTTTGATACAAAAAGTGTTGATAACTCGGTGGAAGATAAAACAGATTCCAACGCCCTTCGCCCCGTGTGACTGCTTTCTTTCTACCATACATAAATAAATACAAGATGGGATCTATTAAGCTAATGGATGAGGAGGGACGGGTGTCAGCCCGATCACCTTTGTGGAAAAGAGCAACGTTCGGTCCACGCGAGCTAAATGCGCGGCCCAGTGCGGTCTCAGCCGCTGCTGGCCGGGACGGAGATCAGGACCTGTCCACAAACGTGGGGGACATCGGTTCGATGTCCTCTCAGGGGCCCACAGAAGTGGGGAGACCTGGTCCCAGCTTGTTTGCTGACATGGGGTCTTGCTCACTTTTGGTCTCTACTGAATAGCTGAGCACTTGGACATCTCTTAGTTTTTTCCCAGTCCTGGGGCTTGAACTCAGGGCCTGGGCGCTGTCCCTGAGCTTCTTTTGCTCCAGACTAGCGCTCTACCACTTGAGCCACAGCACCACTTCTGGCTTTTTCTGTGTATGTGGGATTGAGGAATTGAATCCAGGGCTTCCTGCATGCTAGGCGAGTGCTCTACCACTGAGCCACCTGCCCAGCCCTGGTTTTTTATTATTATTGTTTTTCTGAGCTGATGGTGTGGGGGGCCTAGGCAAGGTGGGGTTCCCAGCCAGGCCCATGTGGGGTCACCCCACATGCCCGGAACAGCCAGGAACCCAGGGCTACACAACCCCACATGCCACCAGTTTCCTAAAGCCAGAAGAATTCCGGGCCTCAGTTTCCCCTCCCTGTCCCCTGGCCTGGTCTGCCCCTTGGAGGGAGCTGGGCCCTGCCACATCCCTGAGGTGTGACCACGCTGCCCCCTGGTGGCCAGCTCAGGACATGATGGGGTGGAAACACAAGTCCAGACCAGGGGATTGCAACCCATTCACCCCTGAATACTGCACCCCTCTGCGGCCCGGCCCCCCACCTGGACCTCTGATCGACCCCCCAGTGCTCCTTTCTCAAATAGATGCCCCTCTTCTCTTCTTTTTTCGTGGGGCTTGAACTCAGGGCCTGGGAACTGTCTCTGAGCTCCAAGTCTGTTTCTTTGGGTGGTTCACTGGAGATCAGTCTCACAGGTTTCCTGCCCAGGGTCGAAGGCAGTCCGCTTTTGGAGGGATCCCCGGCGGGGTGGGGTTGGGTGGTGAGTGGAGACCCAGGGCGGAGGCCCAAGGATGGAGGCCCAGGGTGGAGGCCCGTCGATCCCTGCACTCACGTCCTACCACAACAAAGGACTGGGAAAGTCACAACTAGAACTCCACGTGGTGTTAACAGTATGGGGAGCCTGTGGCTGTCAGAAGGTGTCTGAGCCCGGGTCACTGAGAAAGCCTGTCTATTCTGAAGAATCCCAGAACCATATGGAGTCAGACGTCACACGTGTTTCTCAGAGAAGCGGCTGAGGTGCAGAGGGTGGATGCAGGCCGCACAGCATCTCCCGGGGCCGGCTGGAAGGCGTGGTTGTCATGGTTACCGGCCACGCGGAGGCCGGGGTCGGTCCACTGCTCATCTGCACTGCCCGTGGGTCTGGACTTGGCACACGGTGTCCGGTCTGGGCCCGAGGAGCACTGTGCGCTGAGCTGGAGGTTTTTTTTTTTTTTTTCTTCTGTACTGACATCATCGGCTGCATCGAAATTGCCATCCTATTTTTGGAAAAAAATTAGATGGCTTCACATAAGCGATTTTTCTTTTCTGTTAGCAGTTTTTTTTCTTTTTTTGGGCGACTGAGGCACGGCACGCAGTCAGGAAGGACAGATTAGCATGAATAACGACGCCGCGCGAACACAGGAACAGACTTTGAACTCTTCTGAGCCTCCTGTTCCCTTTTCTAAAAGATATTTATTTATTTATTGAGTGACTGTTAATTCCCAGTAGATTTCCACTGTGGGGAGAGTCGGCCACAAGCTGCCAGGCTCTGAGGAAGTGAGTAATTTTTTCTTTTTCTTTTTGTGCCAGTCTTGGGCCTTGAACTCTGGGCCTGGGCACTCTTCCTTGAGCTCTTTTTCACGGAAGGCTGGTGCTCTATCACTTGAGCCACAGCACCACGTCTGGTTTTCTGGTGGTTCATGGGAGATCAGAGTCTCACAGACTTTCCTGCCCAGGCTGGCTTTGATCCTCAACCCTTAGATCTCAGCCTCCTGAATGGCAGGGATGACAGGCGTGAGCCCCTGTCTTTCTGGGCTGTGCTGACCCCTGGATGCCTGGCTTGTCTGAGGCCTGCTGGCTGTGAAGTGATCTTGGTTCACAGCCGTCCTCCGGAGTCCTTCCACGGGAAGCTGTGGCCAGGAGGCCGGGCCGGTGAGGCCGCATCTGAATAAAAACTTCTGCACCTCTCTGTGCTGGCTGTATTCTCTGTACTCCCTGACCCCCTCCTCGTCCTCCCCATTCTCCTCCCCTTCCCCTCTGTCCTCTCTCTACTCCCTCCCTTCTTCCCTCCTCATCCTCTCTGTCCTCTCCCTCCCTATCCTCCCTGACCCCCCTTCCTGTCCCCCTCCCTGTCCCCCTCCCCTCCTCTCCTCCATCCCCCTTCTAGACTGAGGCTC